GAGCCCTGCCCGGGAGGAGCCTGCAGCGGGGGAGCGGGAGCTGTCCCCGAGGGCGGGGCAGGACCTGGAGCGGGCAGGCTCTTGCACTGAGCGGAGCAGAAGATGGGGAAAGCGGAGGCGCTGCCGCCCCTCGGTGCAGGGGGAGACCTGGCTCCGGAGCATGGGCAGAGATTATTTTGTGCCCGGGCTGAGCCCCGGCACCGCTGAGCTGGGCAGTCCCCAGCCCCGGCACCTGTTTCGGTACAAATCAGGCCCGGGGAGGAGGGAGCGGGCCCGGGGGACGGTCTCCGGGGCTGCCTCTGACAGCCGGCCGACCCCGTGGGAGGCGCGGGGGCGGCCCGGCAGAGCCGCCAGCTCGGGGCGTGGCGCGGCTGGAGCCCAGGAGGGCGGTGCCTGCGGGCTCGGAGCGGGGGACAGAAGCTGCCGGGGCCGCCCTCGCTGCTACAGCCCGGGGCGGGGCCCTGTGCTTTCGGGGCGGGATCGGGGCTCGCTGGCTCCGGCTGAGCCGCAGGCAGTGGGCCGGCTTCAAGTTGCGATGGGCTTTCCAAGTGGAGGGTGGGGAAGGCTTGTTACCGCCACAGCCCCTGCTGGGAGTCAGGTTCCCTGGACTCGGGCAGGCCCATCCCCAGCCAGGTTTGTAGTGACTTTCCCTGTGTTCAGTGAGATTTTTATAGGTATCGCTACTCAGTGCCCAGGATTTTTTTCTTAACTGTGAGTTGACTTTTTAAAAACTAGGACATTTAAAAATACTCACATGCTAATTATTTACACAAAATTGACCCTAGGTGTGGAGATACAAAACAGAGTCCGTGATAAACTCATAGTGGCATTACAAGTATTAGTCTCTTGACTTGTGGATTGCCAGACAGAACTGACAGCTAAAGAGAACATTAGTTGTGGATAAGTGCAACGTACATTATCTTTCCAGACTACATTTCCATTATTAATACTGGACATTTTTTGTTTTTTAGTGTTTAGGGAAAGTAAGAAATTGACACTTACTACTATTTGTTAATGAATGCTGATCCTGCCAGGCAAGCCTTATTACAACCAACAAAACCAGATATTCAAGGCTGAGCATTCATACACACATACAGCAACCCTAAAATTCTGCAGTATTTTAAGAGTTAATTTTTACAGCAAGAGCATAAGATAATTGTCAGCCATAGGTATAGGGGGTTTTTTGTTTTGTTTTTTTAAGCAAGGCTACCAAAAGAGGAACCATCCCGGCCTTCTGCAAAAAACATACCTGTTCTAAAGATGATCTGAGAGAGAGAGAATTGCATTGTGCCCTTTTTGCATCACGATAAAAGGCCTGAAAAAAAAACTTAAATGATTTATTCTGCTTGTTTTTACCTTAGAAATATCAGGAATAACAAGACTCCTCTTCTTTGCTTTTGCTATGGATCAATGAACTAGAGTGGAAGCTTTCATATCCCTCCACTGAAGGAGTAGGAATGTTGAATCACAAAGATCTTTTCTCCAAAGTGCTTTGGTCTCTCTTGGTGTTTGTGATGATGTCATCTTACTAGTTCTCCAGTCATCCATTGAGCCTTTGAGGAAATACGGGTTAGGCAAGACCTGAATTTCCAGTATGAGAGAGTAAGCAGAATAAAGCCATTTGGGCCATCATAGGCATATACTTTTTTTTTTAACCTTGGGAGAAAGGCATACTTTCATTGAAGGGCTCCTGGCAAGTCAGAGCAATCCTCGCTATGCTCACATACATGCCTAGGGCTACCCTGATTGTGCAAGAAATTTTAGGAAGTAGGCTGTCATTTTAGTAGTATCATAATTTTATTTTAAAACTTACTATGGAGACTTCTGACTCCTTCATCACTGCATGTTTTCTGAGCCACTCCCCCACACCTCTGTTACCATGCTTTAAACCCTATCAGTGGTTGTAGTGCAGGGGTAGGCAACCCATGGCACGTGTGCTGATTTTCAGTGGCACTCACACTGCCCGGGTCCTGGCCACCGGTCCGGGGGGCTCTGCATTTTAATTTAATTTAATCTTAAACATTTTAAAAACCTTATTTACTTTACATACAACAATAGTTTAGTTATATATTATAGACTTATAGAAAGAGACCTTCTAAAAACGTTAAAATGTATTACTGGCACGCAAAACCTGAAATTAGAGTGAATAAATGAAGACTCGGCACACCACTTCTGAAAGGTTGCCGACTTCTGTTGTAGTGTCTACCACAGAATCCTCTGTTGGTTGTAGAATTCTAGAAGCAACGGCTTTTCTCCATTCCTTGGCCATTGTCAGTAATCATGTCAGAGTTTAACCCCTTCCAGTACCTTTATGTATAGTATGTGTAGACCACGGGGGGACACATTCATTGGTTGGAAGGTGGAATTCCATTTTTAGATGTGCTCAGTGTGCTGTGGGTGCATCCATTCAAGACTTCATACTCCACTCAATCCATAGTAGAATGCCCACTGGTATTGGTGCACGGTTTGCACAGACATCAGTGGTAGAATATATAACAACTTCTAGTATTACCATTATTTAGTATTTGGCCAATACCAGATTGTCACACTCACATTAACCTGTAACTCTACACCTTGGGAGGACTGAACCTGGGATCTCTGGATCAAAAAAACCCTCATCTGCCTCTAGTGCTTGAACTAAAGCATAAGAAGTAGCTCAAAGGCAGTAGCAGACTCAAACTTCTGTATATGGGCTAGCAACTAGAAGGAGATAAAGAGCACTGTGTTAGCATAGGTTATATCTATTTGTGTCTCCTTCTTTCATCCCTCTGCATTTCTTGCCTTGTGGCAACTCCTAATTTCCACTAACCTGTGAGCTTCCCTCCTCCCATTTCCACATTCTATGCTCTAAAACGATCAGCAATGCAATAGTTATGTTGACATGAATGAGTTAAACTCACTTTATATTGTGCCGCTGCAATGAGATTAATTGGGGGTACCAGGAAGTTAACGTGTGTCTGCAGACCCAGGAAAACAGTACTGCTTTAGCTACACTCAGTTCGCAGGCATGAAAGCTAGAAACTCTCTCCCAGCCTGGGTAGACAGACACATGCTAGCTCTGCTTGAGCTAGAGTGCTAAAACTAGTGGTGTGGGTGTCACAGCATGAGCTAGCCACCCAAGTACAAGCCTGTCTGACCCCCTGGGTCTGTGCTTGGGTGGCTAGCCCATCCCACGCTGTTCACAACACTGCTACTTTTAGGCTCTGTCTACACTGCCAATTGAACAACAAAACTTTTGTTCACAGGTGCTTAAAAAAGCTTCCCCCCGAAAAAACAAAAAGTTTTGCGGCGGAAGTATTTGTCAGCAAAAGTGCCGACAAACAGCATTGACACGGTTATGTCACTAAAAGCTGTGTAGTATAGACAAAGCCTTAGTGAGCAGAGCCAACATGTCTGTCTACCTGGCCTGGGATGCATGCTCCCAGCTGCAGTGTACCTTTAGAGTGAATTCCAGACCCCGTTGAAGTTAATGGCAAAACTCCCATTGACTTTAATGGAATCAGGGTTTCAACCTTTTTTTAAAAAAATAAATAAAAATCTTAGATTCTGCACAATCTGCATATGGATGAGGTGAGGGTCATGTAGAGCAGACCAGATTTGGCCTATGGGACATGTTAGACACCTCTGGTGTAGGCAGACAGATACGGCATAGACTAGTGAACCAAACCTAGAAACAGAACCGCAAGACCCTGCCCAAGAAGAGGTAACATCCTGTTACACAATGATATTTTCCTCCATATGTACTGAAGATATTAAAGTACGTTTGTCTGCTCTTCATAAGAGGACACTGGCATTTTGAACTCACGCTTTTGATTTCTTCTCCAGCCCAGTTTTGCAGTCCTTTTTTATGTAGACTGTTATTGATGTCAATGGGAGTTTTATGTAGCCAAGTGCTTCAAGATTGGTTGTCAGTATAGGCAGGCAACAGATACCAGTATTTGAAGTGACATTATGTGGCATTTTGGATGCTGTACATTGTAAGTTTACAGTCCAAAAGTTAGAACATAAAGCAGAGTTTTCCCAAAAGGTCTAAGGTGGTAACCTCACATGTTTGCTTTCTTAACCCTGCACCTGCATCAACTTTTCTGAAAGTCACAGTTAAAACCAAAACAGTTAAAGCTGTATTTTTTATCAATACCCACACCATATGTTCCAATTTTGGGGGCACATGCGGAGAATGTTTGAAGGCTCCCCACAACTGTTGACTAGTATTTTGAGTGAAACTTTGTAAAGTCCCATTGAAACGAGATGGGTTTTTATATTTCCATTCCTTTTGTTCTATATCTGAAATATGGTAAATGGTACTATGGAAAATTCTACTTCAATTAATACTGGATTGTGGTCCAGAAGGGACTAAATCCAAACACTGGATCAAAACCATCCTATTATTATCTAGTTTCATTTATGTATCTCAAATTTTGCTTTTCTT